TAATTTCCCCTTCCCTAAACAGATATTGTATTTTTATTGTATCGATTTGTTTCTCTTTGCTCAACCAACAACAAGACCCTCTCCATTTCTCATAGTCAGAAAGCTTTCACAGAGATCCAAGATACGAAACTCTGCATTGTCCATTGATACGTGAAATGAGAAGATAAGAAGAGCAAGAAAGATGATGGCATTTGGCGGGGGTTTTCCCCTCTTTTCATTGTTTTGTTTTGAATTTTTTGGGGCCCGAAAAAAGCTTAAACGAGAAAAAAAAAATGAATTAAACAAACAAAACAAAAAAAGAATTGTCATGCGCGCACGCACACCCTTTACTTTTCTGGCTGAAATGTTAAACTCGCGGAAAAAGTAGAAAAGATGCAAAATTGTTGCCTGACTTTTTTTCTCTAACGGAAGTCTTTTTCGCGGGCATGTCAATACGCCATGCATATTCATGAGGCCAAGATCTGATCTCCTCCAAACGATGTTTAATGTCCCCTTTGGCCGTCTCTGTCTCAAACGGCGTACCGCTCTTTGACGAATTTCTACAGGGTTTCTTTGGAGTTTCTACATTCTCTCTCTCTCTCTCTCTCTCTCTCTCTCTCTCTCTCTCTCTCTCTCTCTCTCTCTCACTCACTTAATCTCCCCCTCTCTCTCTCCCCAGTCCCTCGGGCAAGTCTATCTTTTTACATGTTTTTTTTTCCTTGTCCGTCTGTCTGCCTGTCTGCCTTTTTTTCAGCGGTAAGTTTTTTGGTTTTGGTTTTGCGTTTGGTTTTGCTTTATGTTGTTGATGTTTTATTCTTTTTTTATTTTTGTTTTATTTTTGTGTTTTAGAAGGGGGAGGGGTGGAACTCTGTTGAATTGTCAGTAGTCCTGCTCCTTTTTGGCTGCGTCGCTTCGCTACGCCATGGTTATTCCCACAATTTTTGATAACTTAGGAAAAGAATTGCATACGGAGATGACGAGAGGATGGTTTGCGAATGCTCTTGTGTCTTTTGTTCTAGCTTTTCTATTGAACATATATATTCTTTGCCTCTCCCTCTTCCTTTCCGTATATTATATTACTCTATATCTCTAGTAACACCTCTAATCTTGGGCACTTGTGTGACCTTTCTTTGTTGCGAATGCTGTAAGTATCTTACTAAAACTAAAGCCTGACACATCAGCTCTTTTTTGTGTTGCGGGTGCCGTAAAACTCTTACGGAGACTGAAACTAAAAACTGAGACACGACCTGTTTGTATTGCAAGTGCCGAAAACGTTCACTAAAACTAAAACAAAACCAGACGAATAAGGCGATATGTATAAAATGCAGAGCGGAGATGTGTCCCCCATATATGGTCGCTTTTAAGGACAAGCGGACTAACCCAGATTTCGGGGGTTTACAGAAATCTTGACCTTCACCAAAAGTGGGCATTGCCTTACCTCTAGGAGAAATTTGGTTTCATTGGTGTGTATATTTGTTTGGTTGTTTGGTTATAGAGAAAACTCTCCTTGACTTTAAACGAGACTGTATAAGGGTTCAAAGACTTTAACTTCGATTTTCTCAAAACAGCGTTTATCGGGAAAGCCCCTTTGTGCTTAAAAGCGACCATATGTACGCGAGAGTATCGACGCGTTGCGACACGGCGCCAGCGCCCAGTAACGCCATCTATTGTGGGCCAAGCCAATGCATAAGAATTACAGCCTGTCGTACACCGCCGACTTCTCATAAGCAATGAAAATATATAGGCCTTCGCCCGGGGGAATTTTTGTGCATGATGAAGGTTGCTGCTCATCTTAATGCAGCACGCGCATTAAATCGCTGGGGAGGGCGGGGGGTTGGTCTCTCTCTCTCTCTCTCTCT